TTTCCTCATCTCTAACATGGAGATAAAAGAACCTACTTCACAAGCAGCTCTGGGGACTAAGTGGAAAAAAACCACGTGACGCATTGCCTATTGCTGGCACGTAGTAGACATAAATATTGGTTCTTTGGATTATTGGATGTCTCCCAATTTCCTATTTTTATTGATATCAATATTGTTCAATTTACTTATTTCACCATAAGTAAAACATCAGGGAAACTTGGCAAAAAAATATGTAGGCCTTAACCTATTGAAGACATCCTTGGATATACTTTTTTTTTTTCACACGTTACTATCTCTGGATTCTACATTTATCTTATAATAAAGGACACCATGAAATTATGGCTGGTCACTTTCTTACACTTTACCATCTCAAAAACCAGACTGAATCATACAATTGATGGTGTATTAGATTTGATGACATATGATTGCAGAAAAAGCTGCCTCCTTTAGAACTTAACGGTTGTAACGAAAACTGTAGAGATTTTATTGATGCCAGTAATAAACCCGTGTACCCTTTTCCATTACGTTTTTTATTAGACTTTGTCCAGAAAATCTTGTGAATTACATGTGTTAATCGCCTCATTAAACAAATTACATTGCCTTTAAGAACACACAAAATACTCCAATAAAGCAGGTTCCCCAAAGAGCAGAAAATCCCCAGAAGAGGAAACCAGGACATGAAGGAAGTTTTTAGTCAAAAGGTGAAAACTGAATGTACTGATGAGTGTGTGGGTGGATGGGTAGAAAGGCATTCTTATTAAGGCATTCCGTAAAACGGAAATAAGAGAGAAGGGCCTCTCCATCCACGTGACTGCATCAGATGTTCTCTGAAAGCAATACTTAGGGAAAATGAAAATCAGAAATTACATTCTGCTTTGAACATCTCCGTGACGCATGCACACATGCACACACAGAAGGAGAGTGCTGAATGTCTAAGGAGGGAGGTAGACCTCACTGCATGTATATTTATTACACATATACATTCATAAGGCCCTTCTTGGTTGGAGAAGATAGTTGTATTTGTTCTCCTTACTAGATATTTCTCTGATAAGTCGCTGTTTGAATTTTTGGACCATCGATTTCTGCTGGCATGTTCTCCAGAATCAGAGCAGAAAGCAGCATTTCTCTGAGAGGGGATGCTAAATATGCTCTTATCAGAACCCAGGAATTCAAGATCTTTTGTTTCCATGAAGTTTATCAGTGAACAGGCTGGTTACGTCACTTCTTACTAAAGTAAATTGCTCACTGCAGAACATGAAACTGAATTTGAGGTGCTGGGCAAAGACATGCCTGTTCTGAACAGTAGAATAATGGTTTTACTTTATGTAAGTCTTTCATATTGAATTGGGTAAGATCCTTAATTATCAGGAAGAGTTTTTCATGCCATCAGAAGAAAAAAAGGCAGGTTATTGAACAATCCGGGCTGAACCTGACTTGGAAGACCATCGGGAGCTAAGGTAGCTCTTGGCCTCATACAGACCTTGGCCTGTTTGCCCAGATTTTCAAGCCCCTGCAAAGTCCAGGTCTCTAGATTCTTCTCCATATTTCAACAAGGGGAAAATTCCTAGTCTTATGAAATGCAGTATTCCATTTCCTACAACCCTGTTATTACAAGTCAAAACAATGTGAATGATAGTAAAGGGCATTTTCTGTCCAGGTAGAACAGCATTATCCACTACACTATTAATTTGAGTCTGAAAAATATGAAAGTATGCCTGACAAGCAGGTTCATATAGAATATTCCTAACTATCTTGCATTCCTTTGAGCTTGACTTGCTGAAGAATAGAGTTGCTAGAATAGCAGAGAACATATACTTGTCTTCTTTGGCTTTCTGATATGTAAAACAAGGGTGTTTGAGTTGGATAATTCCTGAAGTCTCTCCCACTCTGCAATTTTAAGATTCTATGATTTATATCACAGAGCAAGCCAAGTCACCACACGCTTGAGAACGAGCCACTGAGGTGGCAGGACTGTCCTTGTCACTGGTTGTGGCATGGCGACCTGCCCTCTTGCTGTTTCCAGATCTTCGCCATTGACTTCAAACCTGTGGGGTTATGTTTTTTATTCTGAGATATGTCCACTCACCCAGATCTTTTAAGGAGTTAAGATCCCATGGTAGAATCATCTGTCTCCAAGTCAGAGTCATACCATTTTTCCCCTTCCTAATTAGGAAAAATAAAGAAAGTTGTTCTACCTTGTGCATAGGAAACATCGCCACCCACTCTGGTCCAAATATCAGCCCCAACTTTCTCCAAGTTTGCCTCAGAAGAAGAGGACAAGCATGTCAGCATACCCTGATCCAGATTCTCATTCCCAGCCCTGGCCTCCAGGCTCTGCTCCACCTCATTCTCCAGGGACCTTGAGGGTTTCATGTTCTTCAGGGTCTGTCTGCTTTTGCAGCTGACACTCACCCTGCATTCCCTGGGTTCCTTTTGATAGGTGATAGGCATTGATTACATGTTTCCCTTCTTGTTCTTTGGGGGTCTTACTCCCTGCTCGCTCACACGGGAAGAGTGTGGTGCAAATGTTCATTCTGTCCCTGATGTTGCCAATGCCTTCATAAACAGTGCCCTGCTCCCCCCACGAGGGGTGAACCATGAAAGGGGTTGGCTGTCTTTATCCAACATTCTTTTAGCAGATTAGTTGGCATGTTCAGAAGGTGAAGGCAAATTTAATCCAGAAAAGTATAAAAGTTCATGACCAGTCCGAGCAAGTAACTGGAAAAAAAAGAGAAACCTTTAAAAGGCTAAGGAGAGATTCAAGGCTATTTCAAACACATGATCGTCTTTTTAAATGTCAAATTCCACTCACTAAACTTCATGCTGTTGTTTTTACCACTCTCATGTTTTTTTAACATTATATTTAATTCATCTACAGTGAAATCCCATCCCCCTGCTTTCTCCTGAGGCCAAACATAACATGAAAATACCACAAAATACTCAGTGGGTAAAAGGCAAACGGATTTTGACAACACGCTGAGCGCACTATGTCTTTGCTCTTGAAAGGTTGCCTTCAGAGTGTCGGGCGCCCTCCATTTAACAGGGAATAAGGGAAGCCTTTACCTTTAAAACCCCACCAACATCTGGTCAGAAAAATCAGGAGGGTCCTGGTTTTCTCTCGGTGAGGTTATCTTATACTTAGCCACTTAAGCTCTTGCTTCTCTCTGTCAGCCTGTTGATTGCAGGAGGTCTGGGATCACAAAGGCATGGTCGAAGCATTATCAACTTCAAAGGAGAAGCTGGTTCTCTTAATGCCTGAGGTTTTATAATAATATTCCTGCACCCTAAGGATAGTATAACAAAGTAGCAAAAACATTGCCTTGTCATCGAAAGACTTAGATTCTGGTCCCCGCTTTCAATCTGTCTAGCTGTGTCACTTTGAGGAACTACTCAAACGTTCTACTTTTACATCTATAGAATAACTAAAACGAGAGCATTTCTGACATAACTCCCCGCTCTTAAAATTCTCTGAGCGTTCCTCTTTCATGGACTTTGAGTCAGAGAGATGCATGGATTTTCAGTTCAGAAGGAAGGGTATTTTCTGCTGATACGATAAACCTGGTTGTATGTAAGCTTCCCACGTCAGAGTTTTGTTTCCCTCTGTCTTTATTTCAGACTTGCTGCGTAATAGTCCATTAATTGCAACTATCTTTGTGTTTATAGGAAAAAATTCTTCTTTGGCTTCTCCAGTTTATGCAAGAACAGGGCATATCCCTGGATGAAGTGGACCAAGATGGCAACAGTGCCGTCCACGTAGCCTCCCAGCACGGCTTTCTCGGGTGCATCCAGGTACACAGGCCCCGCTGCTTTGAGGAGACAAATGAGTTTATCAAGTAATGAAACCAAAAAATTGGAAATTTTGTGTACTGGAAGACATGTGTGGATTAAGTCAGCTTTTTCTGTTGTAGTAGATTGTAAGGAATTAAGTTGATATACTCGTATTTCCAGAAACCCACAGAAATGTCAGCATAAAGAGCCCTACGAGTTTCTCGTTGAGTGTTGCAGGATGTCGAAAGGGACTGCAGATGGAGGGCTGTGGGTTCCCCCCTTTCTCTGGGGCAGGGCAGAGCTTCTAGAATGCCTTCAGAAAGCCCCAGAACTGGTTACAGGGAGGCCTCAGGTATTACCGTTGCTCCCCTCAGCCCACGGGCCAGCTAGGCAGGGTGGCCAGCCTGTCCAACCAACAGCCTCAGGTGGCCTCCTCCTTGTAGTCCTACCTGCCTCACAGGTGTTACCATGGTCTGTGTGTGCAAGGATGTGGGGTTGGGGAGCAGAGCCACAGGAGAGGGGGGTAGGTTCTGCCCCCTGCCGCCAGCCACCTGAGAGAGTATCCACATGCTGCTTAGATCATGTGGAGTTCCCACAAGAAGAGTCGGAATCTCTCCCCTCCACCCAGTGCTTTGGTGCATGAAGCTGAGCCAAACCCAGTGCCGCCCTCACAATAGCACATGGCTGAAAGCCCAACGAGGGTCCTCAGGAGTATGAGGCACATGTGAATATAAAAAGCAGATAGATCCCTTGACTTAAAAAAAAAAAATGTTAAGGCCCCGAATGACAAAGCAAAGAGAGAAGGTGACCAACGAGGAGGAGGAGGAGCAAGAAGAATGACCGTGTGCGGGAAGGAAAGGCTCTATTTAGATTTAGCCTGGAATTTGATTTATGAATGCGTCATTACCAGCGTCAGAACAATCACACCATTGTTATAGTGGAAAATGACCCAGCATCTGTGGATGTGTTCCCACATCTGCCTGAGGTGTAGGAAAGCCCTTTCCTGACTGACAACGTAGGGCTGAAGGCCGTGAGAAAAGAAACTGCTTTTCACCTCACTGAGCTCATGCAGTTCAGAATAAGCTATGTGTATACAGCAACTCTAAGAGAGCAGCATCTTTTGTTGCCTTACTATATGTTGTTTCTTTTATTACAACTCAGCGTGCTGATTTAACAGGCACTTACTGACGTCCTACTGTGCGCAGGGTAGACTGTATCCAAAAAAGAAAATCGGGCAGTGAGAACCGGTTGTTTAGGAAGGTAGAAGAGACTCTGAAGATGACAGGAGAGGATCTGGAAAAGCTGTCGGCGTGAAAGGCAAGAGACTAATAAAAGCAAAAGGCAGAGGTAACAGCAGAACGCTCTCTAGAGCTTTTGCCCTTTGGAGAACGAACGGATAGGAAATATTCCACGTGTCTGGACGTTTCCCCACTAATGTTGGCAACGCGTGCATCTTCTCATTTAAGGCACCACGTTGTAAAAGCAGTGATGAGAACCCAGAGCCGAGAAAAGAGAGAAATTTAAATTATTACCAGGATCTACGGAAGATGAAAGGAGTAGCGTGACTTTCTGTGGAGGAAAAGTAATTGAACATAACCGAAAACTTCACTTTTTTTTCCATTTAACAAAACACTCTAATATTTACTCGTCTTGAACTTTTTTTTTTATCAGCTAATAAGTGACTGAAAGCCAAAGAAAACCAGCTGATAGCACTAATTCTGTTTGAGATTTCAGTCATTTTTCTTTTATATGCAAAGAGAGGCTATCTGTGCTTTTGGGCCATTCATCTCTCCACTTAACACAAATGATATTTTTGGCACTAGATACCGTGGCTGTGGAAACTTGGATAATCTTGGAAGCGGGTCTATCCACTGAGTGTGAGATTTAAAAAAAAGAAAAGACACAGAGAGACTGAGAGTAGAACAGGACGTGAGCAAAGGCCCTTTTGAGAGGCGGCAGAGACTGAGTCTAGGAAACTCTGGAAGGGAAATGGCGGAGGCCAGAGTCAAGGGAGTGGGATCAGTGAGTGTTGACAGGGACACTCTGGGCAGGCTGTTGTGACCTCTGAGTTTAAGCAATCTGGGAACTTAAAAATCCTAAGTGTAACTTTTGGGAACAATAGTACCTTTTACTCATATAAACCCAGGGGTCAAGTCTCATCTTGATAGTGTCCAAGGATGTGTCAGATTGTGGCAGCTGATTAATATTGATGTAACAGCTTTCTGTGGCATCTCATGTCACCACAGTATAAATAGAAAAGAATTTTGATTGGTTTTTTTTAATTAGCGATGTCAACCGTGGTCCATCAAGTCTCTCTTCCTTACTAACGATGCCTTGGTCAGATTCCGTAACTTTCTGCTTGCTTGTGCCTTAACATTGACTCCAAACCAGTTTAAAATCTTGGCGTTACTTCTGAATCAAAGTGTTCTCCTCTCCAGCCCAGATTAGACTCGGGGTTTAAGGGACCCAGCCGTGATTGGCTTTGTACACCTCACCTTAACTCCTGTTCTCCTCTCTCTGCTGGGCTCAGTGTTGGAGACAAGGAGGAGGGAGGAGAGAAAAGTTAACCGTCTCTTTGCTTAACTGGCAGAGGTCATGGCACTCTCCCTGAAAGCTGTAATTCCTTCTCTGGCTCACGGTGGTGGGCCACTGATGTCCTCTGTGGCAGCCTTCAGGTGCTGACCCTCTGTTGGGCCTGATGGGTGAGGTCTTCAGAGGGCTCTCCGGAGCCTCCCTCCCCACTGATACCTGACCTGGGAGATCTGGCCCCCACTTTACGGCCTCCTCCCCCATACAGCCCACCTGCCTGTATCACACCCACTGCTCTTTCTGCTGAGAACCCTCTCCTTCCGTAGTGGGGTGATAGCAAGCTCACCCCAAGCCCCCTTCTACGACGTCTCCTCAATCCATGGGTCACATCCTTGCCAGACACATGGTGGGAGTGTGGGGCTGCCCCACACACAGCCCCTGCAGGTCATTTCTCTCCAGTGCTTTTTATTTCTGATGGGGTAGGCTCAGCAACAGGCCACATGTGCTTCCCAAGCAAATAGGAACAGGTAAACAAAACCCCACTCTCTCCTTGCAGGCGTCCCCAACTTTCTGGGCCCACCCACTGAAAGGACCAAAGCAGCTCACCCAGGAGACAGCCCCCTCAGGACAGCAGCAGGGTCTGCCCCTCACAGCTGGCTCCTCCAAGGCTGGGTGGGTGGGTAGCACTGGGACAGGATCTGTTGCATGTGTGAAGGCTCTGAGGGAAGTATCTGATACCAACCCCTACAAAGCCACCAGAGGCTCTCTTTTGTATGTGATGATACCCTTCGCCCCCCTCCCCACCCTGCCATGGGCTCTGGTAACTGGTACTGGACTAGCAGGAAAAGTTATTCACCTTTCTCTTCCCGTCATTCCAAAATGTCGCCAGGGAGCTCTTGTAACGATCCCATGCCTCTGCACGTTCCCACAGACATTGGTGGAATACGGAGCAAACGTTACCATGCAGAACCATGCGGGGGAAAAGCCGTCCCAGAGCGCCGAGCACCACGGGCACACGCTGTGCTCCCGGTACCTGGTGGTGGTGGAGACCTGCATGTCGCTGGCCTCCCAGGTGGTGAAGCTAACCAAGCAGCTGAAGGAGTAAGTGGCCCATTCCGTCCCTGCGAACCAAGTCGGGCTGGTCCTCACTTGGCTCAGGTTCGAGCCCGGTGCCGGTTGTCTGGAGAATTCCTAGCCTTCTGCCCATCTCCTTTTCCTCTTCCACCCCAAGTCCTGCCAGCCGGCATCCACACGATGGGTGCATCTGTGCAGAGGAAGGAGGATGCTTCCACAAGCAGACAGTGCAGAGCAAACTCCGTGAGCAGGGAATGTGAGGCACGTTGGATGAGAGACAGCCTCTCTCCGCGTGCGCAGCTCACGGCCCGATGACTTAGGTACACACACGCATCGTCCCCAAACTTCTGTCCTTTACCTTCTAAGAAATCATAAAGAGCCTGAGAGAGAAGAAGAAAAAAAAAAAAAACTAGACATGGGCCAGTTTCTCAGGTTTTCAACAAAAAATGTGTATTTGGGGAATTACAGACAGGCCATCTGACAACAGTCACCAGTGTTAAGATTTACAAAAATGAAGCCAACGACTCGTGAGTCCTCGGAATGGAAAATAGCGTTCAGACAGCGCGATGTTACTTAAAACCCTCTTGGTCTAGATGGAGTCAGTTCTGTTCTTGATGAGATTATCAAACTGGTAGCCATTGCCTATGGAGATGTCAGGGAGCATTTCTGGGAGGTTGTCATGATATGCCTGACGACGGGGGAACAGAGGAGAAGTCATCAGGTAGGTCTCTAGCGGTCCTAAGAATCAAGGAGCCGACACCACCTGAGAGGACTAAGGTCAGCCCTTAGCAAACACACCAGTCAAAGTACAGTTGCATATTGGAGAGGGATTCACTGAAAATCCCAATTGGTATTCAAAGTCATGTTGACCGATTAAGAGGATAAACCCAAAAAGTTAAATTTTAGAAGCAAAATAGGGAGTGTCTTAAATTATTTTTAAAAATACTCTTTTCGGGGGCCCCTGGGTGGCTCAGTTGTTAAGCATCTGGTTATGGTCCCAGGGTCGTGGGATTGAGCCCCGCGTTGGACTCCCTGCTCTGCGGGAAGCCTGCATCTCCCTTTCCCACTCCCCCTGCTTGTGTTCCCTCTCTTCCTGTGTCTCTCTCTGTCAAATAAATAAATAAAATCTTTAAAAAAAAAATACTCTTTTTGGGGCACCTGGGTGGCTCAGTCAGTTAAGCGTCTGCCTTCAGCTCAGGTCATGATCCCAGGGTCCTGGGATGGAGCCCTGGGTTGGGCTTCCTGCTCGGCGGGGAGTCTGCTTCTCCCTCTACCCCTCCCCCCCGCTCGTGATCTCTCTCACGCTCTTTCTCTCTCAAATAAATAAAATCTTAAAAAGTAAAAAAATAAAAAATACTTTGTTTCCTTTTGAAAAGAGACCTACGATGGCTGGGAGGCCTTTGCTGATCATGCGACAGTATGAGAAGCCCTTAGACCCTCGGGCTCTTCTCTAAGCTGGGAGAAACCTTCATCTGTCCACTTCCACCCTCTCGCCCCGGAGACCAGGTCTTTGTCCCCTCCCACCCTCCCCCTACTAGAGTACGCACTTTAATGAGTTGGTTAGGATTTTACTAGACACAAATAAGGTTTAAAAATTAAATATAAAAGGGGTTCCCTCCAAGCGTCCTCTGCCCTGTTATACAAAACTCCCCTGGGGTGGGTGAATTAAATGAGCTTCAAGGACTTAATGCAATTGAAGGGAAAATACACACAAACTCACAACTCAATAAGTTGCCTTTCCACAGCGAACACACTTGTACATATGTTTTTATGTGCATGTGTAAGTATTTCTAAAGTTAAGTTCCTAGAAAGGGAATTGCTAAAACACAGGGCATACACATTTAAAATGTGGATAGATGTTGCCTGATATCCTTCCAGAAATGTGGCAATATCCTTTCCCCCCTGGGTAGTGTATGGACATATCCATTCAGAGGAGCTTTAAAATAGTCCAAGAGAATGTTTTTTTTTTTTTTCCTTAAGATTCATACTCAGAGGAAAGATCACAAAACACTGTCCTCCATCCTGTACCATGGAGTCTGTGAGCTGTTCATGAGCTATAATAGCTGTTTCATTGGTGAACTCTTCAAGGTCAGGGTCTTGGCTGCCCTCTCTGTTGATGGGCCCAGAATAAAATACACAAGTACGCTAATAGATAACAGTTCTTCCATTGTCTCCGAAGCTGAATGCTGTAGACAATTATGGTGAGGCCAGTGACAAGATAAAATATGAGAGGTTAGGCTGGAGACCCCAGTCTTTTACTTACTGTGTGCCTCAGTGAGATTGGCAGAACTAGAAGTGAACAGGGAAGTCCACTGGGTTTGGGCACTGTAGCCTGTGCCCTTCAGGCTCCAGGGCACCCCCAGCACAGAAAGGTACAGGAGGAGGGATGAGAACCACAAGTTTTTCCAGTCCAAAGTTCTGAGTGAGAGACAGTCCGGAGTGCCTTTTCCTGCCAGAAAGCCTTTCTACTAACTCTTTACAGTTAATAAACGTAACTGCTGTTTAAAAAGTGGCGACCTTCAGCTCTGTTAGAGGTCCTGATGTACAAGCCTAGATATTACAGGTTGAATTATGCCATTCCCCCCCCCCAAAAAATAGGATAGAGTTTTAACCCCTCGTACCTCAGATTATCCACTTATTTGGAGATAGGGTCTTTACAGAAGGAGTCAAGTTAAAATGAGGTCATGAGGGTGTGTCCAAATCCAGTATCACTGGCGTTGTCATCAAAGGGGGAAATTTAGGGGCGCCTGGGAAACTCAGTCAGTTAAGCATTTGCCTTCGTCATGACTCAGGTCATGATCTCGGGGTCCTGGGATTGAGCCCCGTGTCGGGCTCTCCGCTCAGCAGCAAGTCTGCTTTTCCCTCTCACTCTCCCTCTGTGATCTCTCTCACTCTCTCTCTCAAATAAATAAATAAATCTTTAAAAAGGGGGGGATTTAGCTGTGGAGGCAGACACACACAGGGAGAACACTGGGTGAACATGAAGTCAGGGATCAGAGTGATGCGTCCCCCAAGCCAAAAGCGCCAGCAAACCACCAGAAACAAGGAGAGAAGCAGGGAACAGCCTCCCTCCCAGCCCTCAGAGGAAACCAATACTGCCAACCCCTCGGTCTCAGACTTCCAGCCTCCAGAACGGTGAGAAAATAAAGTTCTGTTGTTGTAGCCACCCAACTGATGGTACTAGGTTAACAACAGCCCCAGCATGGCATATGCCCGTCTATGTTCTCATGTTTCATATACTTTTACATAATCATATTTCACATGATCATGTGTTTAAAATTGGGCAGTCCTTGCTGAGGGTCTTCTTTAGAATCTAGAGAGTAGAGTCCTTTTTTTTTTTTTCCCATTCATACATGGAATTCCAATCATCAGTCAACCCAATCGCCCCCGAAGAGTTTTCTTAACTGTACCATAATTCACTTTGACACTTCACAAACCCTTTAAAAGTAGACCGTAATCTTGCTTCGTCTACTTTAGCTCCTCACTATTGTTCTTAAAAATTTGACAGGCAGTACCAGCTTGCAAAGGGGGAAAAGTAGAATGTACTTTAGTTTCTTATTCTTTCTTTAGAATAAGGGTTAGCCAACTATAGACTATGGGCCAAATCCAGCCTGTCTGTTTTTGTAAATAAAGTTTTATTGGAACCCAGCCACACACACACAATCATTTACCTTTCATGTAGGGTTGATTTCATGCTACAAAAGCAGAGTTGATTAGTTATGACATAGACCATATGACTCACAAGCCTAAAATATTTACTATCTGACCTTCAGGGAAAAGTTTGCTGGCTCCTCCTTTAGACAATTAGTTTTCAGTAGGTGAGTCACAGAATGAGTGAGACAAATTGAAATCATAGACATTTCTTGTCTTAGGGATACAATGTTAGGACTAAGACTGACCATGTCTGAAAAACAGAGTACTTGGGGAGATGGAAGGGTGTCATCCCAGTCTGATCTCACAGAATTAGAGTTAGGTGGCCAATGGTTGTTGAGTATTTGCAGTGACACTTGGCAGGGAGAACAGTGGGCTTCCTCAAGCCCAGATCTAAGGTCCCGTGGTCATTTTAAGAACACTTGCAACTCGGGGCACGTGGGTGGCTCAGTGAGTTAGTGTCTAACTCTTGATTTCAGCTCAGGTCATGATCTCAGGGTTGTGAGATCAAGCCCCTTGTTGGGCTTGTGCTGGGCATGGAACCTGCTTAGGATTCTCTCTCTTCCTCTGCCCCCACCCCTGCTCACACGTGTGTGTGTGTGCGCGCGCTCACACACATGCGCACACTCTCTCTCTCTCTCTAAAAACAATAACAACAACAACAAAAAAAACGCTCATTCATTTAGTTCCATGTCCTGGCTCATGAGAGGGCCTACCATTTTTTATGCTAATTGTATTAGTTCTCTATTCTTATAACAAATTACCACACACCTAGTGGCTTAAAACAACACAGATTCCCCTTACAGCTCTATAGTTCCAAAGACTGGCACGGGTCTCCAGATTAAAATCGAGGTGTCCACAGGGCACATTCCTTTCTGGAGGCTCTAGGATGGGTCTGGTTGCAGGATCAGTTCCTTGTGGTCGTAAGACCGAGGTCCCCTTCTTTTGCTGGCTGTCAGCAAAGGGGCATTGCCAGTCCTTAGAGGTCACTGCATTCTTTGGCTCATGGCCCCTTCCTTCGTCTTCAGAGCCAGTAACCACAGATGAAGTCTTCACACTTTGAGTGGCTCTGACCTCATCTTCTACCTCCTCCTCACTGTTAAAGATTCGTGATTAGATTGGATAAACCATAATAATAATAATAATAATAATCCAGGATAATCTCCCGGTTTTCCTATCAGATTATAAATAATCTTGATTCTGTCTGCAACACTAATTCCCTTTTGCCACCAAAGGTAACATAGTCCCACCTTCCAGGGATTAGAATGTGATAGACATCTTGAGGTGGGGGCGTCAGCACACTAATCCTAGAGTTCAGTAAATACTGCTATTCTTCTAAAGTCAGAATCAGTTGGCTTTACTTTTCTCAGGTTCTGTAATATGCTTTCTAAACTGATTTCAATTTCTGTGACCTGTGGCTTTTAACTGATTTTCTTAAATTTGAAGCACATTCTCATTCACATGCTCTTATCTCCAGAAGACAATGAGTGTTGCCATACTGTGTTTCCCTTCATGTAAGAAAATACCAAGTTATTTAATGGTTTTTACCCAATACGGAAATAGCTGTGTTGTTTTATTTTGCTCTTCTCTGATCACTAAATTAATTCAATTACTTTAAAGATTTAAACAATTTGGAAAGAGTAAATTATATAAGTATACACGTTATAAATAATATATATACATTATATATGGAGATTTCTTAAAAATGATATACTACACACAGTATTTTGTAATTTCCTTTTTTACTTAATATACATATATATACATAAAGTGTACTTTATGCACATGTATTAGGGAAACCTTTCCTATGTCATGGATACTGAAATATATTCTCATTTTTAATAGCTGCCTTTATGGAAATAACTAAATTATTCACTTAGTCTTACTGATGAGCATTTAGGTTATTTACAGTTTTTTTGTTAGTGTGAATAATAAGCATCCTTTTGGGTACTTGACTGTGTCCTTAGGAAAATTTCTGCATTGCAAAATGAAGAATATGCACATTTGTAAGGCTTTGGGATTTGTTGCAATTTATTGAAATAATCATGAAAAAGTTTATAGCTACTCATTTATAGTAGTGGCCATGTATCAGAGAGCTCATGTGTCTCCACTTGTTTTTCCTAGACAGACAATGGAACGCGTCACATTGCAGAACCAGCTCCAGCAACTTCTGGAAGCCCAGAAATCAGAGTCACTCCTTTCTTCACCCAGGTAATACCAAGAACATGGGTGGTTAGAGTTCTTAGTTACTTTTAATCTCTGAGCTTTCTTTTGGACTTCTAGGGAAAATATCTTTAAGAAGACCACAATATTTTATTTTTATAAAGAGGAATAAAATTGAGACGTTTCAGGGGAAAAAGGCCTTGGGCCTAAAGTCAAAAGACCTGGGTTCATCTCTGGCTCTGTCATTTCTTCTTTCCCCAATTGTAAGCAAGTCACGTCGTCTTTCGGACTCCTTCATTTCTTCATCTGTGAAATGGAAATAAGGATATGTAGGTTCGTAAGGTTGTTGAAGATGAGAATAATAGAATTAGAGCAAAATTGATGTGTAAACAGTAAAAGAGTAGACAAATTTATATCGTCATGGCATTAGGTGTGAGGCACTATACTTTGATCATAGTTGCCACTATGGAGATTGATTTGCACAGACATTAAGGGATTATTCTTACTCCAGTCCTGTCGATTTGTTGTTAAGTCGTTCGTGGCAGTGAAGGAATTCAGTGATAGGAAATTCCCTCATATGTTCTTCATCATCTTTCAGTTCACCGTCCTCCCCAGCTTCCAGGAGGTCCCAGTGGAAATCTCCAGATGCAGATGATGAGTCTGTAGCCAAAAGCAAACCTGGAGTCCAAGAGGGGCTTCAGGTTCTTGGAAGCCTGTCAGCATCCAGCCGGGCCAGGGCCAAAGCAAAAGACGAAGATTCTGACAAAATCCTACGCCAGTTACTGGGAAAAGATATCTCAGAGAACGTCTGCACCCAGGAAAAGCTGTCCTTGGAATTCCAGGATGCTCAGGCTTCCTCTAGAAACTCCAAGAAGATCCCTGCGGAGAAGAGGGAACTGAAGTTAGCTCGGCTGAGGCAGCTGATGCAGCGGTCCCTGAGTGAGTCCGACACGGATTCCAACACCTCTGAGGACCCCAAGAGCACACCTGTGAGGAAGGCCGACAGGCCCCGGCCGCAGCCCATCGTGGGAAGCGTGGAGAGTGTGGACAGCGCAGAAAGCTTACATCTGATGATAAAGAAACACACCGTGGCATCAGGACGTAGGTTTCCTTTTGGCATCAAGGCCTCCAAATCTCTGGATGGCCATAGCCCATCCCCCACCTCAGAGAGCAGCGAACCTGACTTGGAATCCCAGTGTCCTGGCTCAGGGACCATTCCCCCAAGCCAGCCCTCTGGAGACCCCGCTCAGCCCAGCCCTGACAGCACTGCTGCCCAGAAAGTGGCCATGAGCCCCAAGAGTGCCCTCAAGTCTCCATCTTCCAAGCGCCGGACCTCCCAGAACTTGAAACTCAGAGTTACCTTTGAGGAGCCTGTGGTGCAGATGGAGCAAACTAGCCCTGAGCTAAATGGGGAGAAGGACAAAGATAAAGGCAGGCCCCTCCAGAGGGCCTCCACAAGTAGTGAATCGGGGGACCAACTGAAAAGGCCTTTTGGAACCTTCCGGTCTATCATGGAGACACTCAGCGGCAACCAGAACAATAATAATAACTACCAGGCAGCCAACCAGCTGAAGACGTCCACACTGCCCTTAACCTCACTTGGAAGGAAGACAACAGACACCAAGGGAAATCCCGTGAGCTCTGCTAGCAAAGGAAAGAATAAGGCGGTGAGTGCTATTTGGAAACTATCCCTTTTTTGCCTTTGAATTCACTGTGCTGTTCCTCACACTACAGATTGGTGACCTTTGCCACCACGAGGGAATCCCCAGAAAAAGTCCAAAGGGATGCACGGGAAGCCCAATCAGTGTGTTTTCTAATGAGATATGTCACATTAGAGTATAGACACTTTGCTCTTCCTTTGGAAAATAAGAGAGAAAGATTAAATACATCACAGGACATTATACGCTGGTCCCCCAGTTGCCCTGAATAGTTTGCTCCCTCAGTATTAGGAGTCCTAAACTGGGAGGCATTTCTACAAGATCAGACCACCAGTTGATGTGAAATCAGGCCCTTCCTTCCTTGGCACTGACTCTTCCTCAGGAAGAATTTGTTCTCCTTAGATGACTGGCTAGTTTATTCTCAAGCCCAATGAAAGAGCACATAAAAAGATACTCTATTTCTAAAAATTTAACCACTCAACTTTGGAATGACCTTTGAAATGAATACACCCACAGGGACCTCCGCATTGGCATTTTACGACACAAACCAGTAAGTGTTAATCAGGATAATGCTGGGGCAGTCTGGAGTGCTCGGTACATGAGGGATGGTGGAGTGTGCCATGAACTACATTTTACAATTGCATTTCCTGGAAAACCATGCACTGTAATCTGTGGTTTAAAACCAGTGAATAAGAGATAGGAACATCTTTTTAGGCGATGTTTGCCATGTGTTCTGTGCATGCCGTGCCATCCCCCAAAAATGGTATAGCATCCAAAATATGAAACTCTAAGGAATGGAAGGATCCAGAATATCCATCCTGCAATCTAGAGAGCCCCAACCTGCATAATTGATTATTAGCTGTAAGGTGAAATTCCATCACGGTGAGGTTTAAGACCTGTCCAGATTCCTTTTGCAATACCGAAATCGAGTTTCCGTTAATATCGCTCTAATTAATCGAACGCCAGTTTTAACTATACATTGATTTCCAACGTGAATTGTCTTTGTCGTAAAGGACTTCCATGTTGTGTGTATTTCAGCTAGAAAAGTCACCCCCGTGCCCCAAGCCCCAGCCCCTTTGGGTTTCACACGGCCAGCCTTACCTTGCTCAAATAAGACTTTCCCAAGTCACTTACTGGGTTTTGTCACTCAGGAGTGGAAGAATGATCTCAGCAGCTCCCCGTGCTTCTTAAAGTATGTATGAAGCTTCTGTCCGCTAATCTGCCTCCTGCATGCCTCCTGTTGACTGAGACATGTGCACGTGCTGAGCTTTGTTGCATGTTTTCAGATGATGTTTAATTGCACCTCTCTAGGAGATGTATGGCAGCTGCATCACCCTTTCTTCTAACTTGCTGACCGAAGAGCCTCTGCGTAACCATGCACGGTACGTGGTGCTAGCTAGTGGGTCCTTCGCACAGTGAGGCCATGCCTTTGCTTCCAGTCCCAGAGCACCCTTTTAAGCCACAGTCCCAGAGCACCCTTAGCAGGAGCTGATACCAAGAAAGAAGAAAATGACACCGCCCCCCCCGCCCCCGCCACACACACACCCCAATAGAAGCAGCCAGGCTTATAACGGGGCTTTAGAAAGGGATCAAGTGCCTGATTGGCGGGGCTTTATTCCAGCCGCAGAGGGCAGAGGAATCTACTCACCTTACAAACATGCTGAGTCTCCCGGTTGACTTTGGCTTTCAGTCTTTGTTTTAATGGAGTCAAGTACCAAGTATAGAAATTAAATTTCCTGTCATGGGTGGATGGAGTCGATCTCTGATCAGAATCAGAGCTGTGAAGGAGAGCTGAGGTTTTATTTCATTGCTGATCCTAGACTGAAAGCTCCTTTCATCACTGTGCTGGGGAGAAGCAAGGCCCTGCCATTCTGAAATTGCTCTTGCTTAATGCTCAGAACCCCAGTGCCCAGCAGTCAGCCCGTCTGTGTGTGCCCACCAGTCACACCCGGGGCTTTCCCAAACAAAATGTTTATGCTTCAAAATGCATGGACTGTGTACAGAAAAGGATCATCTTTGAAGGTCCCCAGTGGCTCAGGCGCCTCTCTGGGCAAAGTCCTTCTGCATCGGGGCTTTCTTTCCTCCCCTGGGGAATGTGCACAACTCCCACTCCCGGACGAAGCAGGAAACGGGAGGAGTGAAAGAAGACCCGTGGAGGGCCACTTCCTGCACTCGGTGCCCGGTGACTGGCTTCTTTCAGAAGAAAGCCCCAAATTCATGTTAAGGGAGGCTGTCACTTTTAAATCATTCAAACTTACTTTAATATAATTATTTAGATTAAAAGAAAAATATGTTACACCTTGCAGCACCCTTCCAAAATCCTCCGCACTGTTTTGTGAATGTGCGTCTGTTTCTATATAATGATAAACACACCCAAATAAGAGTGTACGTGTTGTGAGTATAAATTTTTAGATCAGAATACTAAGGCACAAGAAACGTCCTTTTCTTGACCTTTTAAATCAAATTTAATCTGCTCCAGGTCTCTGGTCAGCCCAGAGGAGAAGTAAATCTCAGGCATTTCAGGGAGTGCCCCTAGGGGTCTCATTAATTCAGTAAATTGAAGGAAGCACCTTGGAGCTTAGGTATTTACTGGTCACCAGCACGCAACTTGGGTCAGGCTCACACGGTGCCTGAGTCTGTGCTGCTTCCGGCCACCCTGGGGCAGAGAATCTCAACCAGTTCTTCGAACCCAAGGCCTGGGGTAGGAAGGAAATAGAAGAAAAAAAATGTCCATTCCCCTCCCAGACATTGGTACTGGACCCCCTCTGTTCCTCCCAACCCACCTCCCCACCCCCATACCCTCCTCAGTCCCAGGTGAGGTTGGGTTGTGTCTTCTGGTACCTGGAAAATTCTGCTCCTGTCCTTAAACAGAAGTCACCAACTTCTGTTTAAGAAAGCAGGAAAGGCAGCACAAAGACTTGAGAAACTCTTGGGAGGGAGAAGGAGAACACCTCTCATCTCTCGAAGGTTCCTACAGTACCTGGAAACAAGACAGTTAGTTAGTATCACAGTGGATTGTCCTGCCAGAAATATTTCATCCTTTTTACAAGCAAAGGAACAAAGCTGAACAATTTTCTATAATATAATTACAAAAGTCAGAGCACCAAATGAGACTTTGGGGCTCCTGAGCTATCCGACTCTAGGTTAACTCTTTCCTACTCAGCGGAGGGAACAATCCTTCTGAAGGCTCAGTTTTGAACCTCAGAGTCACTGGGTTTACATATTAACAGAGTTTGATTTCAGCGATAAACTAGAAACCCCAAAATAAAAATACTCAGTGTATTTAAATAAGCATCTTAACCCCTTCCCCTCCGTACCTTATAAATTAGCCTCTACTTTATCCTGGTTTCCGTTTAGCATGTGTTCCACAGAAAGTGAAAAGTCCCTCGTTGGCTCACACTGGAGAGGGGAGGTTTCTCGGATTCACTCATAATGACACAGAGGCAGAGAGAACATGGCCAAGTTCACTCCTTATATAAAATAAGGGTGGACGGCTATAGTGGAAATGAAGATTCCTCAGAGAAATTAACATCAGCATGAGATCGTGGGCATGAAAAACACCTAATTGACTCAAGTGCTTGCTTCATTTTGCCTGAGGGACCCACTGAAGGAACATCCCACGGAAAAATACAATATAGAAAGGAACCCAAGTGTTCATGCCTCAGTGATGCCTTCAAATCTTGACCCAAGAATTTGCTTGAAAGCTAAACGGCTCCTCTTGGGTAGCAGAGATTCTCCAGGCTTATGTAACTTTGGAATCCAATGGCAGTCATTGGTTTGGGGTTGGTTCCAAATATTAATGCCACCGAATTACCCTATCTCTATGGCGCTAGGAGAAAGAGTGGGTCCCCAGAACCTAGTTGCAGACTTACGCTGGAGTCACATTTTAGTTCCTAAGAAATGTTTATTTTTCCTGGGAAAATACAGGCAGTAAATACATTTGAAAGAACATCACCTCCTGTGTGGGGTTTCTGTTTGCTATTTATTTTCCTAAATTGGTCACAGCTTGATAGCAAAGAATCTAAATTTCTTTTCAATGCCCTTTAAAATTAGATTCGACTCCATTACTCTGGACAGCTTTCCCGGAGTGTTTCCACAGCCCACGATGACTTTGTTTATAACAAGCAGATTTATCTTTACTTTTTCTTATCAAGGACAAGTTGGTTTTGAGTTATTACAACTCCAAGGGAATGTTTGCAATTACTTGTTTTAAAATGCCAATAAGACATTCACTTCCCAGAGTTTAAGTCTTAGTGAGACCTGGGACACATGACGTGAGCTTTGCGTCCAGCTAGCTAGAGGCAGAGGGTATCATCCTCTGGCCACCACCACCCACCCCCTCTGTGACCACAGTGCCGCTGTGGCCTGAAACCCTCATCCTAGCCCCAACACCAGAGCAGACGGCTTCAAAACACATTAAGTAATAAACACCATTAGTGTGGGTTTTACTGCCAAGGAATTAGCCACACGGGAAATGATACATGCAGGGCCAAGAGCTCTGGTATCCGATATTTTGCATAGATGTCAAGGATGTTCACTAACCACTTCAACAGGAGTCGTATGTTTGGCCTAAGATGATATGAGGTGTGGTGGTATTCACCTGCTGGGCCCAGTAGGAGGTCAGAGTTGAGGATGCCCACCCCCACCAGCACACACACACACACACACACACATATTATGTCCTTACTGTCAGGATATCATGCTAATCAGAAAAATGATCAAAGATATGGAAGCCATTGGAAAAGTAGAGGTGAGGCCCTGGCTGAAAGCTGTCTCCCAAGTACAGTGTGTACCCTCAGCCCCACTGAAGAGCACTTCCAGACTCATGATGGAAAAATCCAGTCGGCGCCAAAAAGGAGCCCCCAATCTTGCTGAACAAAGGCATCCTCACCATCATTTCTCTGGATATGAGAAAATAACCACATTCTAATCTTGTCTTTAATTTTTTACCTTAAAGTATCTATTTTTTAACCCATATGCTTTTTATGGGATATGTCTGTAATTTTTTGGTCACTGTTATGTTACCACGGCTCTCTGATCCATGCTGAGGACATAGTTCTAGAGCGACCTCCCTGGGGGCAGACAGAGTCTTAAGTATAACAGTTCAGCAAAGTTGGTTCAAGGGCTAATACAAAAAGGGGATTTAGCGATTACAGACATTAGCATTATCACTCAAAAACTATAGTTTTGGCTTCTAAGCCCTGATCTGAAGTGGATATTCATTTGTAAAATACTAGCTCTGGGGTCTAGAGCCAGCCCATTAGCAGGAATTGATACCAGGTCCCTGAGGTGCCTTCCTCTACTCCAGAAACCCCTAGAACCCACCTGCTCACCTTCCCCTCCACTCCTCCTCCATGTGTCCCCAGGTTCTGTGTTCCCTGTACAACTCTTGTCCTTCCCACCCTCACCTCTGCCTCCTTAGTGTTCATATTAGTTTCAGAGGGGAAACCCATATTTCATACTGGAGCTTTGTCCCTATGACTTAGAGGAGAGAGGAGACCCCAATCTTGAACATTTCTCCAAAGGCAGGTTCTCCTTTGCTCAGGCCACAGTTTTTGCATTGTCCTTGGCTGTCACATAGCAGAATCTTGTGTGTGGAGGGAAATACTCATATGATGAGGGATAGTTAAAATGACCAGACCCTCCCAATGTCTCGGCACAACTTCACAAGCTCTTTATAAAAGCTGCCAGAGTTCCCAAGGTTGACCAGGGCATGATTCACAAATGGAGTTTCTTTCCATACATGCCGTACACCCACTGGGAAAAGGAGAAAGCATATGCTGCCACAGGAAGACAATGAAACAGAGTTTAGTCTCCAAGTATGAGGAGTTGAGACATAGAAAAAGCTATTGCAACTAAGATCCCACGTTCAGTCTTCAAGCGCTGCCCTTGGAAGGCAGGAAATGACAATGTGGAAGAGCCATGAACGAGAAGTAGGAGGGTACAGAGAGAAGACCTTCCTTCAAAACCAAAACCATCCCACCAGAAATACGTTCTTTCGGCATGTGAATCCTGGCTTAAATGCAATCACAAAACTGAAGAACAGACTACTCCCTTTTCCCACTTCCACCCTCCTTTCCTCCCTCCCCTCTGTGGTCCTGGTTTAAACTGTGAAATGCCCCCGGGGGAGCTGTCCTATTAGTGTCCTATGGGCACCATCTCTGCCACCACGGGAGTGTCTCCGAACATTAAAAGAATAGTTCCTGTCTATAAGCTCTGAGGAAGACTGGAGTTTCCAAGAAGCAGCCATTCATTTGAGGTTTAAAAGTACCAACTACCCTATGACCCAGCAATTGCACTACTGGGTATTTACCCCAAAGACACAGATGTAGTGAAAAGAAGGGGCACCTGTACCCCAATGTTTATAGCAGCAATGTCCACA